TACAGGCGCAGCTTCTGTCCTCTGCTGTTACCGGTGTTTCACCGAGGGCACACACACACCATCATATTGAAGAAAGTCAGCACACTAGCAAGAATTACATCTGTAAATGCAAAAAAACAAAAAATGAAATAGTTACATCAGGTCAAGCTTTGCAAACAAGGAGGAGCGTTGCCCACACAAGAGTAGCCCCTGTCAGATCCACTTATAACATGGTGTGTTTGAGCAGCATATGAACGCTGTCCTGCAGAAAACCCGTGGGAGGAAATGATCAGTAGTCGAGTAATAACCTATTTAAGAAATTAAATGTACTTAATTATTCAGTAAAACCATGTGTTATTGTGACTTGGCCACTGACAGACAACATGGAAAATGTAAGCAAAGAGTGTGAAACACTGTCACTGTTTGTGCACCACAGTCCATTATAAACGACACATTAGATAAAGTTTATACAAACACTGACAAGAGAAACATATTAATTCTCTCTGATTATGACCCTCGTCAAAACTGCCCGCCAGAAACAATATACTGGAGTTGAATTGGGGGCTTTTACTTAAAAGAGTCTGCAGCCTGCTTGACACACCTCTAAAAGAGCCGTCAGAAAACGTGATTCCCCTAAAAGTCTTCTGCCTGGAGATACTGGGGAAATGCAAAAGCATCTGTAGGTTGATGGATGCGGAACATGTGATCTTACTCACAACCTTCTAGAAGAGAATCCTGCACTTTACAGACTGAGCTAACCAAACACCATAATGTTTAATGTAAATATTGTGTCTGATATTCTCATCACACAAAATTATTAGCCGGCCGCTGCTGTATAGTATTACTTCTTCTTCCACGTAACATACGTATTCAACGTAGTGATGAGTGTCTACACTGCCAGAATTCTACAAGAAGAAGAAGAACGTAGTGACAAAACGCGCCCTGAAGCGCTGTGTTTCCGTTTTGGGCTACTGTAGAAACATGGCGACTTCAATGTAAGAGGACCCGCGGTGTATGTAAATACTGTAGAATAGGCTCATTCTAAGGTAATAAAAACATAACGGTTCATAAGGTCTTTATACACCACTGAAAACATACACTGAACAAAATTATAAACACAACACTTTTGTTTTTGCCCCCATTCATCATGAGCTGAACTTAAAGATCTGAGACTTTCTCTATGTACACAAAAGGCCTATTTCTCTCAAATATTGTTCACAGATCTGTCAAAATCACAGTTGTGTTGGCTCACATTAATCTGTACAGGTGTGCCTAATAAACTACCCACTGACCAACCAGAATATATAATTTAACTATCAGGATGTACTGTATTGTGTATTTGTAGTTTTATAGTATTTGAATAACCTACATTTATGTCCACATAAATAACTGCACATTTGAATATTTCTATATGCATATTTGCATGATTCATCACATTCATTATATTGATTACATTTTTAATATTTCTTATTGAAATGATGAAATTGTATTCATCCACCACACTACACTGTTTCTGATGACAAAATGTGCTTAAATTGTAAAACACAGAATTTGGGGGGAAAAATAACTTCTGGAATCTGGATTTCATAGAGCCCTAGTAGAGATTAGGCAAAATGAAGAGACTGCATCAAACATTTTAAGGTACTGAGGCTTAGAGAGTTGTAGCACACATTACAGACGTAGAGATGAGTAATATCATTTTGTACACCGTCAACATTGAACTCCTTACAGAAGATTCTCCAGTTACAGGTGCTGGTACCTCTTATGGAGTTCAAGTCCCAGGTTACAGATGTCTTTAAGTAGGAGTGTAGATGTTTCCCATAGGCTGGATTCTTTAAGTGTATGTATAGGTGTCTTGGAAGATGTTTTAATGTATTATTGTCATGTGTGTCAGTGGACATTCTTAGCCAGGTCTCCGTTTAGAAAGAGATTATATCTGAGCTTCTTCATGGTTAAATAAATAACTCATCACCCACCTGGGATTTCTCCTGAACGGTCTTTGAAGGTGAGATCTGAAAGACAAATTAGAACATTAATTCACACACAGTGCATGGCCTACTAATGAAGTCATTTGTTACCTTCAAAAATGGAGTCAGAGGGAAACATGAGCAGAGGTTCCGATTCACAGCGGAGGCCAAGTATTTAAAGACAGAGCTGCACGTTTAGATCATCATCTAGTAAGATGGTGACAAGATGCGTCAGAATCTTTCTGATTGAGCTCAGCAGGTGAAACTGATTAGGCAGAACTCCACTTACCAATTTCCTGTTTGCAGAGAGTTAGATAAGAAGATCGATAACACACTTACGTACGTGCAGTTAATATGAAGCTACAGCAAGCAGACAGTTAGACAATGTTAGTTTAAAAATCAGACCTGCAAACTCAGGAGGGATGAAAAAGGTGACATGTTTGCAAACCAAACCCCTGTTGAAGAAAATCTTTTAACACGCAAACATCAAAACAGATCTCAGAACAGTGTCACCTAAATTCCATCAGCATGTCCACATCCCCACCAGAGGATCAAACACGCTGGACCACGTCTACACCAATATTCCTGGCAGCTACAAAGCCCTCCCCGTCCCCATTTTGGTTTATCGGACCATATTTCGCTGCTTCCTCAGCCCACTTACAGCCAGCTGATTAAAAGGGTCAAGCCAACAGTTAAAACAGTCGAAGTGTGGACAGATGAATCTACAGCAGCTCTGCAGGACTGTTTTGGGAGCACAGATCGGTGTGTGTTCAGAGAGGCCGCCGCCCAGGAGAGCCACATCAACCCTGAGGAATATACATCATCAGTGACATCAAACATTGTCAAATGTGCCAATGATGCGGTGACCACTAAAACGAGAGGTTAGGGCTCTATTCAGAGCCAAAACAGCTGCTTTTCAGTCGGGTGATAAAGAAGCTTACAGCACCGTCAGAGCGAGACTGAAAGCTGGCATCAAGGAGGCGACATCAGCAGAGACTGGAGAGAGACCTCAACACCAACAACACCAAAGATATGTGGCAGGCCATCTAAAACATCACAGGCTACAAAAGCAGGAGCTCCCACGTCATGTGTGAGGCCACATTACCAGATGAACTAAACACCTTTTATGCTTGATCTCCTCAACAAGGAGTCAGCTGTAAAGTCTCCTCCACCTCCAGAGGACCGGCCCCTGTCAGCAGATGTGAGGAGAGTCCTGCTGAGAGTGAATATGAGGAAATCAGCTGGGCCTGAAAACATTCCCGGCCGTGTACTAAAATCCTGTGCCAGTCAGCCTGTTGATGTTATTTCTGACATTTTCAACATCTCGCTGCCTCAGGAGAGGGTTCCCACCTGCTTTAAGACAGCCACCATCGTTCCTCTACCTAAAACGTCTGCAGTGTCTAGTCTGAACGACTACCGCCATGTGGCACTCACTCCCGTTCTGATGAAGAGCTTTGAGAAACTGGTTCTTCAGCACATAAAGAACAACATCCCAGCCAGCCTGGAACCTCACCAGTTTGCTTTCAGAACCAACAGATCCACAGAGGATCTCCACTGCCCTCCACTCAGCCCTCACACACCTTGAGAAAAAAACATCATAATGCTGTTTGTGGATTTCAGCTCAGCGTTCAACACAATCTCCCTCATGGAGCTGATCAACCAACTCAGCACTCTGGGTTTAAACATAACACTCTGCTACTGGATATTGGACTTCCTCACAAACAGACCCCAGTCAGTTCGGATTGGCGGACTCACCTCCACTCTAGTGCTCAACACCGGAGCCCCCCAGGGCTGTGTGCTCAGCCCCCTCCTGTTCACACTGTACACCCACGACTGCATCCTCCAACACAGAGAGAACTCTGTTGTGAAGTTTGTGGACGACACCACCATCACCGGCCGGATTTCAAACAACGATGAGACTTCATGTCGGGAGGAAATTCCTAATCTTGCAGAGAAGAACCTGCTGCTCAACGTCAGCAAAACCAAGGAGATAAAGACACACACCCCTGTCTACATCAGTGGAGCTGAGGTGGAGCAGGTGAACAGTTTCAGGTTCCTGGGAATCACAGAGAACCTGACATGGTCGTCTCACATCTCCACGCTGGTGAAGAAAGCTCAGAAACGACTATATTTCTTGAGGAAGCTTAAGAAGGCCAAATTCCCACACCAAGCTCTAGTCAGCTTTTACATTGGTGAGGTGGAGTGAGGCGCCTACGCAGAGCCCAATGGATACTAAAGGACAGTACCCACCCAACCACAGCCTGTTCACCCTGCTGCCTTCTGGGAAGAGATACAGAAGTTTCCAGTTTATAATTTTTCACAATTTATTCTGTATTAATGTATTATTGTCTGCTGTGTAGCAGAAGGGAGTTACAAAGCTCATTTTTTCACTATGTAACCTGTTATATTGTGACAATAAATGGACCTACGTACCTAAATGAAGCCCTCTGGTGTACTCTGAGAAGGTCTTTTTGAATTGTTCCTCATTATCGTGTCTGGTTTCAGCTTTGAAGACAAAATGGCTGCAACACTGTGTTTACTTAAATTGCTGATATGTAAATTGAAGTCGTACTTTCAACGTGTTCCTTGTTGTCAATGGTTTAAACAGAAGACCGAACGGACAAGTGAGAACAGGAGAAGAAGAGGACGAGGAGCTCCTTTTTGTGAGTGTAGTGAGTGTGTGGCTGTGCAAGAGAGAGAGAGCGAGCAGCAGGTGAATGCAGCAGAAGAGAGGAAAAGGTGAACAGTGAAGTTTAGTTCACGGAAGAAGAACAGGTCATGGAAGGATCGAAGATTGCAGCCAATCACCTTCTCTGCTGAGTGAATGCTACGCTGTCCTTGGCAGTGCAGCCGTATACCAAATGGTGTTGGAGGAAGTGAGGATGGACTAGGATCGTGGGGTAGAAGTGCACCATCGGGGAATTAAAGTCAGAACAGAACAAAACAGAAGACTGAACAGACAAGAACAGCTGGAGTCAAACGAAACCTTAAAGAACAGCTGGAGATCTTGATGAACAATATTTATAGATTTAACTGTTTAATGAAAACACTCACCAACAACAACAAGCTGAATGTTGAATATCTGTCTTGGCTGCAGATGTGGAAAATCACAGCTGTAGTCTCCACTGTCGGTCACCTTCGTATTTCTGATGATGATGGAGGCGTTGCCGTACTTCAGCTCATCTTGAAAATGTGAGACGCGACCTTTGAACTGCTGATCTTGACCTGGACGGCCGTTATTAGAATGAATTCCCGCATCATAAAAGAAAACGTCCTGCTGACCATCTTTCTTCCAGTCAAAGAGTTTCTCCTCAGCGTTCTCCTTGGTGCTGAGTGAACAGGGTAAAATGGCGTCACGTCCTTCTTTCACAACCACTCTGACGTCACCCGACACTGAAAGAAGAAGATTATTTTAGTCATTCTGTTCAAATAGAGATCAATCAGGTTCAGACAGAACATCAGATAACACATTTACATGTCACCTCAATGACTCTGAAACACCAGTTTATAAACACGTTAGTTAGTCGGCACATTATTTATGGAGATTTTTCATGTTGGCATCATTTAAGAATATTTAGGCTGACATGAGAAACCTGATGAGTCACATGATACAGACAATAAACTCTACAGTTTGTAAGTAGACATGTAGGCAGGTAATGCACATGGTGGTTTAACAGCTTGTAAGCAGGCAGTAATATATATTACCATATTTATTAGAAAACTATTTACAGAACAGCCTCAGAATCGAGCTTCAAAGCACAGTGCTGCTCACAATAGCAAGATAAGTTTTTTTAACAAAAGTTTCTGTATTTATTGTAAATTGATAAAAGGGATATTAACACAATTTTACTATGATAATACTCGTAAAAAGCACATTACTAGTTTCAGATACTTGTTTCAGCAGCAGAGTATTCTCTAGTTCTCCAGAGGCAGAATGTTATGGAGAGCAACGAGCTGCTCCGTGTATTTACCGTAAATACTAGAATAGGAGTGCACTCCAGATTTAGCTGCGGCTAACTGATGTGGCTCCCAGAAACAACAGCTCACTTTCCTGCAGTTCTGTGTACGTATAAGTCGCTAATTGAAAACTCTGTAGTTCAGAGTGTCCACATGAAAAGAGAAGGAAGACATGGCTGGTAGTGTCTTCAAACAGAGTTGTTAAACACCTCAGCGCACTGAAAGAAGCCATCTGACTGTGTGAGGGGCAAGATCGTTGATGTCTGCAGGCAGAGTAGGAGCTCTCCTGTCTGACTGGTCCACCAATAGCAGAGAAGATGACCCTTGAGTCACAGCCCCTCCTCATTTGCATAATGAGGCAAAAATGCATACAGAAATTTAAAAAGGACAGGCAGAAATAAATACCATGGGTGAAAATAAATAAGGTAGAAAAATACAAAGGAAGAATAAAACAGACAAAAATATTAAAACACACACATAAATAAATACATTTAAAAAATTAATAAATAAAGGTGAAGATTAAAACAGACAATAAATAAACAAGGTAATTATAACAAAGGTGAATAAGTAAAGGCACTAATTAAATATATACATTTATGTCTCCTTGTATAATTTAATTACTACCTACATTTATTTATTTGCTTTATTTTTTTGTGTATTCAATTGGATGCTTATTTATTTATTGAGCATTTATTTATTTCTGTATTTATTTCTGACTGTGTCAGGATCGGTCCTCCACAGTATGTACTCTACGGTTAAAACAGGGGGGGTTCACTTCAGGTCCAAAACAAATATGGATAAACCCACAAACACGTTAAGTTCAGCTCACAGTGACAAACACAGAAAGTCTGCTCTTCAGTTTTTAGATGTTTTTATCCCAAAACAATCAGCTTCTTTACTTCTTTGACACAATGAGGCAGCGACTCACAGCGCGAGGTGTCTTGTTTACTATCACTCGATAGATAACATATAACTATTTATTGGGAATTAACTTTCTTACCGTTTGCATGCAGGAGTATTATTCCACACAGATCCAGCAGGAAGAAACACAAGGAAAGAGCCGGAGCTGTCAGTCTGGGCGTGAACATGATGACATCTGCACAGTTAACTAACAAGCCTCCTCGGAGACAGTCAGCTGAGATATTTGAAGTTAAATGAATAAACTGTCAGTAGCTTTTGAACAAGGCGATATGATTTAAGGCTTCAGTATTTCACAATAATAACTATAACAGTAACTTTGGAGCATAAACAGTCTAGACCAAAACACAGGCTCCGTGGAGTTCTGCGCATGCGTGGTACACTTTCCCCCTTTAAAGACTGCGGTAACGTCAGCTGCCGGAAACGAAACGAAACAAACCCTCGTCGGGGGGGTGAGCCGGTTTTTACCTGATGTGTCTTTTAAGTGCGGACATGACAGTAATGCCTCCAACTGAAATATGTACATATATATTTTAGGATGTGGTGCATCAACTTGTAAAAATCAATTTGGATCTAAAATAAACTGTTTTTAAAATATGGGTTTCCAAAAAAAGTGGACTCTTGGCTCAACCATACGAGGGACAAAATTGTGTCATCCAGCAGTTCAAGAGTAACATCATGCTAACAGTTTAGCCTCATATTGTAACTTCCTAAAGCACTAACACATGCGTACAATTTTCTCAAACCTGTCTGCTCAGACACAAGAATCAGGACTCCTTGAACATTAATCACTTTGAATGGCAAAAAACATTTCTTTGATCTTAAATGTGCTGATCACTTATTCCATGGGCCTCTCTCCATCAAAGGGTGAGTAAAATGATCAACTCTTCAAAAATGTCCATTCATATAACCAATTTTGTCCATGGTTGCTGAGAAACAAGGGGTGGCTCAACTTCCCCATAGGATCTGCATGCATGTTGCGTTCCTCGCAGGTCTATTTCAAGTAGCCGGCTATTTAAAAACGATAAAATATTATTTGAGTGGTTCATCAACGATGATAAATTATCTGCAAGTCCCGCAAGGTGCCGACAACTCGGCCCAACACCGCTGAAGCTGGGGCTCTGTCTCCTCAGCAAGTGGTCCTCTCTAGACAATGTATATTGTAACAGGCTGTGTATTAACTTATTGGGAGGAAATCTTTGGCTATTTGGGGTCAGCCCTACATGTAACAAAAAATAAAGACAACTCTGCAACACGAACTTCCAATCAGAGCACTTTTTTAAATCAGCTTTGAAAATGTTTTATGACAAAAGAACATTCAACATGCTAGTTTGATGTCAACAATACAAATAAATTAAATAAAAAATATAAAGATTACAACTTCAGCTTATTCACAACAACACTCCTCAGCACATTTAACTTCCTGGCAAACAGAAGTCAATTATTTAAATGCTTTATTACAGGCTACATACATAAAAAATATATTTTTACATAATGGATGCAGAGCGATATGAGCACATTCAATATTTATGAGCCAACGACCATTAGTGTGGTGAAATGTAACAAGACAATCCGGTAGCACTTTATAATAACTACACACTATAAAGTGTGTAGTTAAGTATTAGTAAATACAGAGATCATCATTTATAAAGCATTGCTCATACATTAATACACATTAGTAAGTCATTCATAAACAGTTATAAATGTTTTATTTTTTTATTATCTAAACACTATGAAGCAGTTGTTAAGTAATGTGTATTAATGTATGAATAATGCTTTATAAATGATGAATTCCTTATTTACTAATGCTTAACTAATGCTTTATAGTGTGCAGTTATTATAAAGTCCTACCGACAACCCTTTATTATATGTATTGTATTATAGTGTATATTATAAACTTATATTAACATTATAATAATAAAAATAATAGCAGCAGTCAACATTGGCATAAAGTACTACATGCTTCAAGTTCAACAAAAACTCCTATAACAAAACAAAAGTGACATTACATTTATCTTTACATTCATTTTAAGAAAAAAAAGAGATTCACATTAAAGGGATGAAATATAGTGTTTAGCAGGCTTAAGTTTAGTCACGTCCCATGTGTAGCCTTTTCACTCAGGGAACAAAATGAAAAAAACTGTAGTAGAATATTCATTCATTTTTCTTATTCAAACATTTTAAACAAAGTCGGACACGAATATTCTCGTTCTGTGTCCACCGAAAATTAAAGTTTTGCCTCAATTCGTTCATTGTCAGTGAATGAAATGGCGTAGTGTGTAAAAAACATTAAGTGCATTTTAGTGTTCAATCAAATCAATCAAATTAAACAATCACATGTCCTCTGGGTGGGGACAGTGTTAGTGTAAATGCTGAACTTCTGTTCTTAATCATGACTGAACTCAGCAGAATCTAGTGTTTATCATATGTGATTTAGTACAAGGCTCACAGTTTATAAAACCTCCAGGGCCCGGCGAGAAGCCAGTGAGCTCATCTGCTGCCACGGTTAGTTTGTGTTATTGTGTGAAATAGATTTTTTAAACTATTTTAAAACATCACACAATAACACAAACACACAAAAACCCCGCCAAAGTCAAACAATAACAAACAAACTCATCAGATCGACGCAGCGGTAGATGAGCAACTCCCATGTTCTGCAAGGTAAAATTACTGTTTTTATCGAGGGAGTCTGCAGCAGTGAAACTTGCTTCAACATAATCCTTGAAATAACCAGACAGCATCACGCTCGCTCACTTCTGGACTAATTTCCCCATTAGTATCAAAATAGGGTCTTGATTGATTTTACAGAATTGACCCTTTAATAGAGCTACAATATCTTTTTCATGTTTTCATTGCTGTCTTCTATCGGTCCAGCTCCTGTCTTAAATGATATTTGGATGTTTGCAACTAATATGCATGATCCATTCACACACACACACACACACACACACACACACACACACACACACACACACACACCTTAAAAGCACCTCTGAAGGATCTTTACATTGACCGTGCTTCTGCTCACAAGAACCTGCAGAAAAGAAAAGTATATATTACATAAAGTCAACACACAAACAGAATCGTCCCCTCCCAAAAAGATTCCCTCTTGAAAGCCGATTCTCAAACAGTTAATATTGGAGACTGATTGAGACGTTAGTCTGAATGGTTTTTATCAGTTCATGAATGAATTAGTTTTAGAGATGACTCAGCGTTCAGCGTTACCCTGAGGTCCACCTCCAAACAAACATCCTAAACCTGTGAAATCACATTTAACAATATGTGATCATTTCAGCTTCCACCACTACAGAAACCCACTGTGCTGCCAAATGAAGCTCTCTGCTCACACAAGTCTTTGTTAACAGGAAAGTTTAAGAGTCAATCACAGCTGGGAGACACAGTTTATGGATCTCCACCTGCAGAATATACATGACTCTAATCACTTCAGCTGCACAAACATTCAACCTGCAACTGTTGTTGAAGCTGGAACCAGAGAAAGTTTGGGATTTTTGCTTGATAAATTAAATTACCTAATGATTAATCAGTTAATCAGCTAATTGTTTCAGATCTACAACTAACCTGTTGTTACTTTTTAAGAACCATAAACCTGATGATGATGACAGGAGGACAAATCTGGCCTCAGAGTATGAAAACTTGGTAGAACTTGGTAGCTTGTTAATAACATGGTAAAAAAAAGTAATAACCAATATCTTGGTATTAACAATGAGTATATCTGGGTAATATTAAACTTAAATGCAACTAACAGGTTAATAATGGTCAAAAACAAAAGCGGAATAATGGAAAACATAATTTAGGTAGCAGTGAGGCAAAACTATTTAGTATTAGAGTAATATTTTAGTAACCTAAGAACACAATAAATATGAAAAAGCACTCCAAGGTGATCACTAAGGTTGAAGCTGAAGGCCAAGATACTGTTGAGTTGACTGAAAACAGACGTGCACTCTTTAAAACAGATATACATCACATTACATTGTGCAAGGACAGAAAATTACTATGAAATTAAATAGAAACATGATTCAGAGTTATTTTGTTTCCAGGTAAAAAGTCACAGCATTAAACATATAATTTGTACTAGAGCCTGACCGATAAATCAATAAAGGCTCATATCAGATAAATCTGAATCAGTGTTTATTATTTAATGACAAATAAAAAAGAAACAGAGAGATGGATCCTACAATCATGTCATGAGTGTGTTACATAGTTTGTCCACCAGAGAGCGCTCTGCAGCTCCCATGTTGTTAATGTCACCATATTACCAAATTTGTATCACAATATTGCAGTGATAAAACCATTCTGACCATCAAATATGTTTTCCCATTATTCCCCTTTGTTTTTGACTCTTAGTACCCTAAGTACACAAAATTCAGTCTAAAATTACCCAGATGTCTCCTTGCACATTTGTGAAATCAAACCATCCATTTAAAGGACAGTTATGTATTTATAACTTGTTATATTTATTTTTAACAATCAGAATGAGAACCAGAGGCCTCACAAATAAATAAAGGCTCAGTGGATTTTCTTTTTCATAAATGTAAATACGAACTTAACGGGCGCCTCAGTAGCTCACCTGGTGGAGCGCTAAGGTTGGATTACACAGGTTCAGATGCTCTGCTCAATGTCATCATGTCTCTCCCTGGTTTCCTCTCTCTCTTCAGTTGCTCCTGTCAAATAAAGGCAAAACGTCCAACATAATATATCTGAGAAAACGATAACCTTGTGACGCGAGACGGTCTCTGTAAGTATCTGTTATGTTGATGTCTGCACATGATGAATATGTTGATACATTTATATAAACTCACCTTTATTACAGCGTACTGTGATGCGCTTTGTAGCTACTAGCAAAGCTTGAACTGCAGCAAGAATTACAGCTCCTAAAACGATTCCACCAAACCATCCTGTGACGTCCCCTCTGCTGCTTGTGTCCTCAAACAGTTTCTCTGAAACACACAACAAAACCTAGAGTCACACTCAGAATGTAAACTGTATATCATGTACAGCACACTGGTTATTACCTACACAGAACTACTACTGAGGCGGCCATGCTGCTAAAGTCTATGAACATTAAAATAACACCATGTAAACATCTAAAACTATTTTCAGAAAAGATCACTGGGATGAATTTCACCTGGTAAAGTGATTAGGTTTGATCTTGGCTGATGTCGTCCTGCTCAAATACACAGTGGAATCTTTTCTTTTTACTATTTTGGGACATTTTATAAACAAAAAATTCAAATAATAAAAAAACAACAACAGATTAATCAAAAACAAAAATAATTATTAGTTGCAACCCTACACAATATCATGATATATATTTTATATTTGATTTTAGCTTTAATCAAGCTAAACTTCAAACTTGTGCAGACGTCTTCATCACAATCTGCTTTGTGTTCAGTCTGAAGGTAGGTAAACATTTTTAAAAAAACAACAACAACTATTGAAATTCCTTAAATACAAAACACAACCAGGAAGAATCTCACCACTGATAAACACGAAGGTCTCAGCATAAATCTGATGTTTGATCTCCTCCTGTGTGGCTACACAGCGATAGCGGTCGGTCTTCATCACAGTAGTTTGGAGGATGATGTAGAAGCTGCCTCCTCTTTCTGAGACCTGTGGCTCCTCAGCAAGAAGTTTGTTTGCAGCACTGTCCTGCCACTCTACTGTAGGTTTAGGAAAAGCACCAAGAACTTCACACTGCAGCAGGGCCCAGTCCTTCGTTTGATTAAGTGTACAGATGCACGGCTTTGCAGATGCTCCTGTGAACACAGTAAACAGACACATTACATTTACATTACATTTATTCATTTAGCTGATGCTTTTATCCAAAGCGACTTATAATTGCTTTATATGTCAGAGATCACACGCCTCTGGAGCAACTAGGGGTTAAGTGTCTTGCTCGGGCATAGTCTTATCCATTGCGCCATCACCTCAGCTATTAAAAGGACAATAACAGGATTATAAATGTAACACTGATGTTTCTTGTTCGTCTCTTCTCTGCTTGTAAATGAGGATTAAAGTGTGTTTAACAGAAAAACACAGAGGAACGTTGGAATGTTGGAGCCATTTTAATGTTTCTGATTGAATCAGTCTGTAGAAGCTGAGCTGCTGGACTAAAGAACAACATCAAGCAGATCAGAGTACTACAACCTCAGTTTTTTCAGAGTTCAATATCAAGAAATTATAAGACATCCAGGTCTTCGCATCTTTGTTGCACATCTGAAGCCTAGCTAACTGGTTGGTTTCATCAGGTCTGATAGAAAGATATAACTAAGTGTCATCAGAATAACATTGAAAATTTATACTGTGGTTCCTAATGATATTACCTAGTGGAAGCATATATAAGGTGAATAATACAGGTCCAAGGACTGAACCTTGTGGAACTCCATGGGTAACTCTGCTGTGCAGAGAGGACTTATCGTTTACATGTACAAACTGGGTGCGATCTGATAAGTATGATTTAAACCAGCTTAAAGCAGTTCCTTTAATGGCGATTAAGTGTTCAAGTCTCTGTAGTAAAATATGGTGATCAATTGTATCAAATGTCGCACTTAGATCTAACAAGACCAATACAGATGCTAGTTCCTTATCTGATGCTGTTAAAAGATCATTAGAGATTTTCACCAGTGCTGTCTCTGTACTATGATGCATTCTGAAACCTGACTGAAAATTTTGAGCAGAGTTGATTTGCCACAGTTTTTTCAAGGATCTTGGATATGAAAGGAAGGTTAGATATCGGTCGAAAACGCCTGAACATCAAGAGCAGGCTTTTTAAGAAGTGGTTCAATAACCGCTTCCTTAAAAAGCTGAGGTACATAGCCCGTTGTCAAAGAAAGGTTGATAATATTTAACAAAGAAGTGCCAGCTGAGGGCAAAACTTCTTTGAGCACTTTGGTTGGGATGGGGTCTGTGAGGCAGGTCGTTGGTTTGGACGAGGACACAACTGAAGTAAGTTGGTGAAGGTTAATGGTAGCAAAACAGTCCAAATATCCATTGAGCTTTAAAGGTGCTTCTGAGGAGACTAAGGGCCCGTGTCCACCAAGTGTTTTTTGCCAGCTGAAACTTTACTGGATGTAAAAATGTCAGCACAGTAGAGCACTTGCTCTCTGGCCCTTGTTCTGTATGAAGAGAAGGCTGAAGCAAGTAGAGAGAGAGGACGAACTCGCCGTATGTGGGTTCATGAGATTTTGTGGGTGAGGAAACATCTCGGCGAGTACCGCCGTTTGGTCCAAGAGCTGAGGTTGGACGAAGCCTGGTCCCAGGATAGTAACCGTTGCTGTTTGTCCTGCCCCTCCTCTACTGTGACTGGACAGCTGGGTAAAAAGTGACAGCGACAAGAGCAGCGTTTTTCCCAAAGCTGAACATTTTTCAACCGGAAAAAACACTCCCATTGGAATTAATTGAAAAAAAAGACGCTGGCTTCACATCTCACATCTGTCAACAAAGACTTTTTGCCATGTGTAAACTCAGGACTCTCTCAGCCAAACCACACCTACTGCTTCTCCTGCACCGTAGTATCATTGAACCCATCCCTGTGCTACCTGCTCCTTCACCATGCTCTCTCTCACCAATAGGAACAAGTTTCTTAAAATCCCTAACACCAAAATAATAGGTCTTCGCTCTCCCAACCTGCCAGCCCTCATTAATAACTGCTCGCAGTGCAGTTACCATAGTTCAAAATCCCAGCCACCCTCTCAACTCATGCTTCACCCTTCTCCCATCTGGCCGTAGATACAGACAGCTGCTCTACAAAAAGGCACGCTTTGGGAAAAGTTTTGTACCCTGCGCTGTAAGAGCGATAAACTCCCAGACAAGTTAATGATGCAGTGTGATATGTGTGGATATGTGTTGTCTATATATGTGTGTTCTATACGTAGTTTGTTTGTAGAATTCATTTTGAAGGTGCTCTTTGTACAGACTGTGAAAGCAATTCTCCTCCACTGAGGACAATAAAGAATCTGAATCCAAACTCGAGCAGGTTATGATTATAATGAGACGTCATAACGATCCCCTCAAGGCTGCGTTCTTTCCCCTCTTCTCTTCTCCCTGTACACCAACAGCTGCACCTCCAGTCTGTCAAGCTCCTGAAGTTTGCAAACGACACCAGTCCTCTCTGGTGGGGATGAGTTTGCATACAGGTGGGAGATCGACCATCTGGTGACCTGGTGCAGCCAGAACAGTCTGGAGCTCAACGCTCTGAAGACAGTGGAGATGATCGTGGATTTTAGAAAGAGCCCAGCCCCACCCTCCCCCATCATCCTGTGTGACTCCCCAGTCACCACTGTGGACTTCTTCTGCTTCCTGGGCACCATCATCTACCAGGACCTCAAGTGGGAGCTGAACATCACCTCCCTTATCAAAAAGGCCCAGCAGAGGATGTACTTCCTGCGGCAGCTGAAGATGTTCAGCCTGCCAAAGACAATGATGGTGCACTTCTACACCGCCATCACTGAGTCCATCCTCACCTCCTCCATCACCATCTGGTACGCTGCTGCCACTGCCAGGGACAAAGGCAGGCTGCAGCGTATCATTCACTCTGCAGATTAAGTGATTGGCTGCAATCTTCCTTCTCTTCTGGACCTGTACGCCTCGAGGACTCTGAGGCGAGCAGGAAAGATTGCAGCTGACTCCTCCCACCTCGGACACAAACTGTTTCAGACTCTCGCCACAAAAACAGATTCTTCCCGTCTGCAGCTAGTCTCATTAGGCCCGGGCCCCCCCACTGACACTCTCCCCTCCTCAAATAATACAATCGTCTTTGCACATGTAAATATCACTTCAGGTCATATCATGCACGAACCTGGCACATTGCACATATTTGTTGTTAATTGTAAATTGTTATTGTTCCGTTGTTATTTTTATAATTATTTTTATTTAGTTATTCTTATATAACTTGCATTTGTTTATTAAATATTTATATTCTACATCTATTAATGTCAGCTGTATGTCAGTCTGCGTGTAGCACCTTATCACCAAAGCAAATTCCTTGTATGTGTAAAACAGTACTTGGCAATAAAGCTCCTTCTGATTCTGAATTGCGGACTGGCTCCAGGAGTTTTATTGTAAACATCCCGCCATAAATCTCCTTTTTTCAAGTATGCTGCTGACCTTCTTCTTCTTTTGTATTTAAGGGCGGTTGGCAAACCACCTGCATACCGCCACCACCTGGGCTGGTGTGTGGAACAGTAGATTGCTGCTGACCTGCCGGTCAGATCGACATACTGCCCCCACGTTAATGTGCGGAAGTGCATCTCGCGGACGCGAAGCATTAATTCCTGGGGACATGCACAACCTACGCTCTAAAGGAACGCAGGATACCCGTGGCAGCCATCTTGCGTACGTTTATGTGTAGTTAAAAGCAAGTATATCCAGGGCTTAAGTAGGAGTGTAGAGGTTTTCCATAGGTTGGATTCTTTAAGCGTATGAATAGGTGTCTTGGAAGATGTATTGTTGTTATATGTATGTCAGTGTAAATTTTAAATGCTGTTTTGCTGCCTTTCTTGGCCAGGTCTCCCTTTAGAAAGAGATTATATCTCAATGGGCTTCTTCCTGGTTAAATAAAAAAAAAAAAAAACATCACTCACCTGGGATTTCTCCTGATCGGTCTTTAAAGGTGAGGTCTGAAAGACAAAGTAGAACATTTCAACATCAGTAGAGGTTCAGATTCAGAGTGAAGGTCAAGCATTTAATGAGAGAGCTGCACGTTTAGGTCATCATCTAGTAACATGATGACAAGAATCTATCTGATTGAGATCAGCAGGTGAAATTGTTTAGGCAGAACTCCACTTATAAATATCCTGTTTGCTTCGTATGTTGAAGACCATACATGCAGAAATAAATCATATCTCTCATGTCTGAGAAGAAAGTCTGGACTGGCCTTTCACACTTTCTCGACCAAACAAAGCAGTCACGGTAAGCGCAGCACACAAATTACTCTAACCCTCTGTGTAGTCCTCCGGTGATTTATTATGAGATTACAAAAGTCAAAAACTACTTGGCTTTTCACTGTGGCAAAACCTGTGTGTGTAATTGCAGTATAGAAAGTAGAAAGTAGAAATATCACATGGTCATAAGTATTCAGACCCTTTGCCGTGACACTCATATTTAACTCAGGTGCTGTCTATTTCTTCTGATCATCCTTGAGATGGTTCTACACCTTCATTTGAGTCCAGCTGTGTTTGATTATACTGATTGGACTTGATTAGGAAAGCCACACACCTGTCTATATAAGACCTTACAGCTCACAGTGCATGTCAGAGCAAATGAGAATCATGAGGTCAAAGGAACTGCCTGAAGAGCTCAGAGACAGAATTGTGGCAAGGCACAGATCTGGCCAAGGTTACAAAAAAATTTCTGCTGCACTTAAGGTTCCTAAGAGCACAGTGGCCTCCATAATCCTCAAATGGAAGACGTTTGGGACGACCAGAACCCTTCCTAGAGCTGGCCGTCCGGCCAAACTGAGCTATCGGGGGAGAAGAGCCTTGGTGAGAGAGGTAAAGAAGAACCCAAAGGTCACTGTGGCTGAGCTCCAGAGATGCAGTCGGGAGATGGGAGAAAGTTGTAGTAAGTCAACCAGCACTGCAGCAATCCACCAGTCGGGGCTTTATGGCAGAGTGGCCCGACGGAAGCCTCTCCTCAGTGCAAGACACATGAAAGCCCGCATGGAGTTTGCTAAAAAACACCTGAAGGACTCCAAGATGGTGATAAATAAGATCCTCTGGTCTGATGAGACCAAGATAGAACTTTTTGGCCTTAATTCTAAGCGGTATGTGTGGAGAAAACCAGGCACTGCTCATCACCTGTCCAATACAGTCTCAACAGTGAAGCATGGTGGTGGCAGCATCATGCTGTGGGGGTGTTTTTCAGCTGCAGGGACAGGACGACCGGTTGCAATCGAGGGAAAGATGAATGCGGCCAAGTACAGGGATATCCTGGACAAAAACCTTTTCCAGAGCGCTCTGGACCTCAGACTGGGCCGAAGGTTTACCTTCCAACAAGACGATGACCCTAAGCACACCGCTAAAATAACGAAGGAGTGGCTTCACAACAACTCCGTGGCTGTTCTTGAATGGCCCAGCCAGAGCCATGACTTAAACCCAATTGAGCATCTCTGGAGAGACCTGAAAATGGCTGTCCACCAACGTTTACCATCCAACCTGACAGAACTGGAGAGGATCTGCAAGGAGGAATGGCAGAGGATACCCAAATCCAGATGTGAAAAACTTGTTGCATCTTTCCCAAAACGACTCATGGCTGTATTAGATCAAAAGGGTGCTTCTACTAAATACTGAGCAAAGGCTCTGAATACTTATGACCATGTGATATTTCAGTTTTTCGTTTTTAATAAATTTGCAAAAATTTCTACATTTCTGTTTTTTTCTGTCAAGATGGGGTGCTGAGTGTACATTACTGAGAAATAAAATGAACTTTCTTGATTTTTGGAAAATGGCTGCAATGAAACAAAGAGTGAAAAATTTAAAGGGGTCTGAATACTTTCCGTACCCACTGTACATACAACATACAACGTTTAATGCTGTAAATAAACATGTAAAAAGAATTAAACTTTCAATAAATGTTTTTAAAGTGCGTAAATAAATCCAAAATTATAACCCTAAGCCTGGGTCGTCAGTGTGCATGTGTGTAGTGGCAGTGGAGGAACACTTGCTGAAGAGACTGAGCCCCAACTTCACTGTCACCTCGCGGGACTTTCACATAATTTCTCATCGTTGATGAACCACACAAAGAATATTATATCGTTTTTAAATAGACGGCTACTTGAAATAGACCCGTGAGGAACCGCGACCTGCACGCAGTTGTCGGCCGCACGGCAAAAACTCTGCACAAGACAGGTGAATGGCAGAGAGACAGAGTGGTTACAGTGTGTTTTGACTGTATTAAAAAGTAATATCTAAATACCATGGTATACTGTAATACTGTGATACCAAGCCTGCGCTTAACAAACCATCTGCCAGACAGGAGAGTCTGAAACAGCCTGTTTCTGGAGGTGGGAGGGGTCGGCCACAATCTTTCCTGCACACCTCAGAGTGTGCAGGAGGTGTGCAGTGTGGTGGAGATGCAGCCTCACCTTCTCTGCAGAGCGAATGATAAGCTGCCCTTGGCAGTGCCAGCAGCGTACCAGATGGGGTTAGAGGAAGTGAGGATGGACTCGTTGGCGGTGCAGTAGTGCACCGTGGTGTAATTAGAGTCGTACTTTCAAGGTGTTCCTGGTTGTCAGTGGTTTAAACAGAAGACTGAACAGACTAAGAACAGCTGGAGTCAAACCAAACCTGAAAGAACAGCTGGAGATCTTGCTGAACAAATGAAAACACTCACCAACAACAACAAGCTGAATGTGGAATATCTGTCTTGGCTGAACATGTGGAAAATCACAGGTGTAGTCTCCTCTGTCGGCCACCGTCGTATTTCTGATGATGATGGAGGCGTTGCCGTACTTCAGCTCATCTTGAAAATGTGAGACGCGACCTTTGAACTGCTGATCTTGACCTGGACGGCCGTTATTAGAATGAATTCCTGCATCATAGAAGAAAATCTCCTTCTGACCATCTTTCTTCCAGTCAAAGAGTTTCTCCTCAGCGTTCTGCTTGTTGCTGAGTGAACAGGGTAAAATGGCGTCACTCCCTTCTTTCACAACCACTCTGACGACACCCGACCCTGAAAGAAGAAGTTTATTTTAGTCATTCTGTTCATCAGATAACACATTTACATGTCACCTCACTGACTCTGAAACACCAGTTTATAAACAAGTTAATAAACGCCTCTTACTGATGTCCACGTTCACATTTATTCTCCTCTGAAGTATCATAGAACACCGTGAAAACTAGAGGATAAACAAAACCGTTTCAAGCACAAAGCACCACCACAACAACGTTTATATACTCTGTCTCTTATTTCTTATACAGACCGATACAATGTGTCTCACATTTTCCTGTAAACAACATTAAACAGTGCTTAATAATTAACTTAATAATTATTACCGTGTTCGCCTTGTAGACCAGCTGTAGAATAACAGACGGGAGCTTAAAAGTTCGCCTTCTCTGGCGCTACTCTCAGTACTTCCGAGTAACAGTCATGTGACTAGCGATAAACCTTTCTCTTAATAAATTTAACAAGAGCAAGCTGGTGTTGTCATGGAAACGTTTTTACGCAGTGCGTGGATGATATACCTGAGACACACCCTCCGTCTACCTGTCATTGATTCCCGTAAGTTTCTTAGTCTAACGTGCATCTGCTGTCGCGACTTCTGCGCTGTAACGTCCCTCAGAGCATATTAACCACTTCTGTCACCTTCCCTGCACGGTGCTGTTATACAGAAACTCTGTGGCTACACTACAACTGTAAGCTGCTGTTAACCTCATAGGCTTACTGTCTATGGGATAAGTTAGGCTACACAAAGTAACACCGTCCCGACCGCCATGTTTACCAACAGAGTTTTCAGGTTTGTGCTCGTGGCGATGAAACTGACCAAAAAGAGAAAAGGCAAACGCTATCAATGTGAAATGAGTAACGTTACAGCTTTAAGAAGTTTTCTTACCTTGTTCATCCCCAAACGTTTGTCCAGACCGAGCGAGGAGGCACACAAGAGGAAGAAACTTCATGAAGTTAGTTGTCGAAGCCATTTTAACATTAAACATGACTTTAGCTTCACTGTTATGACCCGACTTCTCACTTGATTTATCACCTCAGTAAACTCCTGATGAGCTTTAAAAAAAACAAAAACAAACAAGATGGCGACGGCCAATATTCCAAATTCAGGCTCTGAAACGTTAAGAGTGCAAAGAGCATTTACTTATCAAGCGCCTCTACTATGGAACCTGGTTCCAATTTGGGTGCAGGAATCGGACCGCATCACCACTTTTAAGGCTAGACTAAAGACTTTTCTGTTTAATAAAGCTGTTAGTCGGACAGTGTTGAGCAAACTTTAAATTATAATTCAATTTTATCGTTTTATCATTTTACTTTACATTTTATTCTGATTGTATTTTTTATTACATGCATTCTGTATTTTAAGGTTAATTTTATTTAATTTCAATGCATTTTGTGTACTGGGACCATGTCTTTTGGTGATTTTGCACTTTAAATAAAACCTGACTTGACAAACCAGCAGGTGGCGTCACGGAGGCTTCGTCCACTTCTTTATACAGTCTATGGAGAGAGCAGAAAATACAAATGAGATACGATAATAAAACAAGGAAAGAAAATTAATCAGAGCAACATCCAGGGTTCACAAATATTTTTGAGATCTTAATCAAACAGCTGTTAACATTGTTGAGCTGCAGAGACCTGAAACAAAGACACTTTTCACTTTGTGAAACTTGTTTCATCTTCACTGATCTCTTGTCAGTGGTGCTGACTGTTCAGGAGGCTGCAGACTGTGATGTTGTTGAGCTGCCTTATTAGGGCCCGGACATTAAACACGCGAGGACCCAATTGTTTTTGGCAAAGTAGTCACATTTCTGGCGGCCTAAACATGCTCTAAAACGTGTTAAACTTTGCACAAAATTCAATGGCGGCGAAAATGTCATGTCACATGGTTTTCACACACAGGCTTGTAAAAATAGCTCCTTATAATCGCAGAATCAGGCCAAAACACAGCACAGTTTGTTTTTATAAATCCACTTAGAGATAATCAAATCATTTAAATGGTGGTCAGTATCAGCAGACAGGCAGAATATTCAGGACTTTTACTTTCAAATAGAAAAATAAAGAAGTGAATGATGGATAACAATCACAATGAGAACCAGAAATAAAGGCTCTGTAGATTTTTTATGAATGTAAATACCAACATAACAGGCTCCCAGTAGCTCACCTGGTGGAGAACACTGGTTCCATTAGACCGCTCTGTCTCTCTCCTGTTTCTCTGTCTCTTCACAGCTGCTCCTGTTCAATAAAGGGGAAAAGATCAGTTTAATATAAAACAACATAATAGACCAATATCTGAAATGACAAGATCATCATGACATGAGATGGTTTCTGTATCTGTGATGTTGATGTCTGCACATGATGAATATGTTGATACAATCCATTATATAAACTCACCTTTATTACAGCGTACTGTGATGAACTTTGTAGCTACAAGTGAAGCTAGAACTGCCAGAGCTCCTAAAGAGAATCCACTAAAAAACCATCCTGTGACGTCCCCTCTGCTGCACGTGTCCTCAAACAGTTTCTCTGAAACACACAACAAAACCTAGAGTCACACTCAGAATGTAAACTGTATCTCATGTACAGCACGCTGGTTATTACCTACACAGAACTACTACTGAGGCGGCCATGCTGCTAAAGTCTGAAACTATTTACAGATAAAACCAGAGAGATGAATTTCACCTGATGCAGTGATGTTAGCGTTGATCATACAGCTGATGTCGTCCTGCTCGACGACACAGTGGAAGTATTTTTTTGTTTTACTGTTTTTGGACATTTTATAAACAAAAAAATCAAAATTATTTGGAAAGAGATGAATCAAAAATAAAATAACTGTTATCTGCAGCCTCACACAAAAGCATCATGATATATATTTCAGATCTGAGCTTTTATCAAGATAAGTTTAAATATTAACAGAATATTTACACCTCAAAGTGTGTACATTCTGTCAGTGAGAAATATCTTGTCACTGATTTCATGTAAAGTACCTACAGAAAAGTATCTTATAGTTATCAGTCACATCAGTTATAATCGTTTTATCTCATTTACTTGATTTTACAAATCGTTGGAAGCCAAAATCATAATTGAGATTAAATTTTTATAAATGCACACACTTAGATTTCTGATCAACAAATATTTATTTGTTTTAACAATAAATATTGTTACCTGTTTAAATTGTCGAGTAAAAATTTGTGCCTCAGCGCTATCAAAGTATTACCACAAACTATTATTTCTTATATTTAGAGTTAAAGTCTGGTTCTAGTTTTTAGTTTAGTTTGTAGTTAAAAAATAAATTGTCCTCATGTTTGTGGTTCATGTTTGACTTGGCTGCTGTAACTCTGCGGTTTCTCAGAGGGATCAATAAAGTTTCTCTCTCTCTCTCTAATCTACCTTCAGAGAGTCTCTGTGTTTTATCATTTCACTCAGAGCCTCAGGATCAGGCTGCAGCAGCCATTTATAAATCTGTTCCTCACCTAAATAAATAGTCACTAGTTACTAAAAATTAAGCACTAGTATATTTTAAATAGAAAGTTTTAAAGAATAAATGGTAACATATAGAGGAGATGATCCTCATCTTCCTTTGTGAACTTCATGTATGATGTGGTTTATAATGGACGGTGGTGCAGAAACAGTGACATCTAGTGGTGAAGGCTGGAAACTTCACTAAGACTGAAAGGATCAGCAGGACTATCAGACTGAATGGTTCTTACATTCTCAGCTCGTTGTACTTCCCCTTTTTTATGTGTAGCGAGCTCTTCCTGCCCAGCAGTCGGAGGTTAGAGACACACGGCCAAATACTGCTGATTAACGTGATTATTTTGATGTCATCAGGGAATGCGTACATACAGGAGACATCCTCACTGAAAACCAGTTTTAAAGTTTTAACTTTAACTCTCATTCACACCTCCTGCTACTCCTCCTCCTCCTTATTTCCCTTCTTGCGAGCGACAAACGACAGTCACATATTTCCTGTCCTGCAGTCTCTAGTTCTCTCAGCTTCCCTTCTCTGGAAACAGACGCCTTATCGTCACATGCATCCTCCGTTTCCTCTTGCAGAGAGAAGCCCAGGCAGAGCTCTTCAAACATGAGAGAAAAGTCACTCACGATGATACAAGATGTATTAAAGAAAATCTGAACAGCATGATTAATAAAACTTTTGTGATATGAGCTAAGCTGTTAATGATTCTCACTCTGACCTGGCTTGTATATGTCGCCTATGACTGTTTCCAAAAGTCTTTGTTCGTCAGAACCGGCGTCCTTCTCTTCACACTCTTCTTGTCCTTATGTTTGATCAGGCTGATCTCTTTCCAACAAACCTCAGATCTTTCTGTTCTGTTAAGTCTGAGTCTCAGTGTAAGTGTGAAGATTCAACTTAGTTTGAAACATAACAGGTGAACTGTTAAAATGAAACAGGAAGAATCTCACCGCTTATAAACACGTAGGTCTCGGCATAAATCTGATGTTTGATCTCCTCCTGTGTGGCTACACAGCGATAGTTGTCGGTCTTCTTCACAGTAGTTTGGAAGATGATGTAGAAGCTGCCTCCTCTTTCTGAGACCTGTGGCTCCTCAGCAGGAAGTTTATTTCCAGCACTGTCCTGCCACTCTACTGTAGGTTTTGGAGAAGCACCTTGAACGTCACACTGCAGCAGGGCCACGTCCTGCGTTTGATTAAGTATCTTGACAGACGGCTCTGGAGATGCTCCTGTGAACACAGTAAACAGACACATCAGCTATAAAAGGACAATAACAGGATTATAAATGTAACACTGTGATGTTTCTTGTTCGTCTCTTCTCTGCTTGTAAATGAGGATTAAAGTGTGTTTAACAGAAAAACACAGAGGAACAGAAAAGCACAGTATCAGCCTCAGTTGCTCCTCCCAGCATTGTTAGATAGGACATGATATTTCAAACATTTCTAACTTCTACCAAAAGTCTGGAAACTATTTACAGCTGCAAACACTGTTTCTGACTCATATCATGACAGAAGCTCAGATACAGTGAAGACGTTTGGACAATTTTTACATTTGTTGAGCTGAAAAAATTATCTTGAAACGACGTCACATGAAATCTGTTGTCTGATATGTCGACAATATTTTCTGTCACACTAAAGTAAAATAAACATGTGTTATAAAATATGAAACAGGGTCTTGAAAAGCATGTGCACCCCTAACTGTGTCAGTGAGACATTCACTCAGCGGTCACTTTATTAGGAACACCTGTACAGTCTGATGCAGTCCAACACAACTGTTCTGTCTTTAAGTTCACTTTATGATGATTAGAGATGGTGTTGATCTGGACTGAATTATATTTAAAAGGTGTTTCTAATATTCTGGGAGAATTTATAGCAGAGCTGCCCTAATGAACTGCAACACATTGTTCAGGTATAAATCTAGTTTTTTCAAATATTAAAAGCGGGGTTTCAAAAGTACGAACACCTCAAAGTGTGTGAGAGTGTTCACTGATTTCATATGACATGAAAAGCATCTTTCAGTTATCAGTGTAACTGTAGAAACTGAGATTATAGTCTCAGCTGCTGGCTGATTTCTGTGCTCTGTAGCGTGCTGCAGTTACTGCAGAGGTAGACTAACTGAACACAGTTTCACCAACGACGTAACAGCCTTTTACATCGGACCTTAAAGACAGATCAGGAGAAACTAGAGGTGACTTTTGATTTTAATGTCTCTGATCTCTACATCTGCAATGTGTGTGCTACAACTCTTAGTCACCTGAGATCTGGGAGATATTCATAAATTTATCATTATGTCCACAATGAACCAAGACAACAAAACATCTTCAGATGTTACATCAGCTTCAACTGATCAGTCAAACAGTGCTGCTGCTGGAAACAGGAAGTTTCACTGCAGGTCTAAGTGTACGTTTAACAGGAAATAAACTTGGAGCCATTTTAATGTTTCTGTTCAACACAGTCTCACTCCCTACTCGTCAAATGTCTGACGCATGGTCAAGGCCCTTTGTCGTCGCTTTTTAAAGACTTGGGTAGCCCTTTTGCATCAATTATTGACGTTTAGGGATCCACAGTCAAGTTAGCAACGCTTAGCAACAATAAATATGCAATATCCGGTTACACTTTCAAGATAAAACGTAACGTTTCGATACATTGCCATGTTGAAACGCGCATAATTAAAGTCGTGAAACGTTGCAGTTTCGTTAAGTTTAGGCACAGAAAGTACTTTCGTTGGGTTTAGGCAACAAAACTACTTGGTTAAGGTTAGGAAAAGATCATGGTTTGGGTTCAAATAGCTATGTATGTCAATTAAGACTTAAGTTAACTAACGTTAATGTCAATTTACCTCACTCGCCTAAATAAAAACATTTAATGTTTTGTTTCGCACGGGACACAAACCCTGTTCTCCTGCTTCAAGGTCCGGGTTCTGGCCCTCTATCCACCCCAATCACCTCCTTACTTCGTCTTTTCTCTTAAATATAAAACTGACACAACAGGGCTTCCCGCAATACGTCGAACTATGACGTCAAAGGGATCCCTAGTGCGTCACAAACTGACGATTATGGCTCTTGACCAAGCGTCCATATGTGATGACTTGGGAGTGAGACCGGGTTGTTCTGTTTGAATCAGTGAAATAGTCTGTAGAAGCTGAGCTGCTGGACTAAAGAACCACATCAAGTATCTCAGAGTGAACTTTGTGTGTTTGTGTCCCAGAATCAGCTGATAATCAGCAGATGTAGAGATCAGTAACATCAACATCAGGACAGACCGCTGATTTCACCTCCTCTGGTTTATAAGACAGACGGCTGTAGATCTGATAGATGTCTGATCAATACATGTTTGATCTCTATCCTGAGGCCCAGAGAGTTGTAGCACACATTACAGATGTAGAGATCAGTGACGCACCTGTGATTTCTCCTGATCGGTCTCTGAAGGTGAGCTCTGAAAGAGAACATTAATTAACACAATTAGAACAGTAATTACTGCACAGATGATCGATGTCACACTTTACTGTGCTGTAAATATGAAGCTGCAGGCAGCAGACAGCTGGGCTAGCTTAGCATAAAGACTGAAAGCAGGGAAACTAGCAGCAGAAGACCAGCAAGTCAGCAAACACAGATTAAACAAGGTTAGATATAAAATACTCACTAGTACTACTACTAAAATACTGCAAGTGTTTTACGAAGAGGGAAAAAACAGAATATGTTTCTGGGAGTAAGACTGAATATAAAAAAACTTTTAGTTTGTTTTTAAGTAAACTCAGAAGTGGTTAGAGCATCCAGCAGCAGCAAAGCTGTTGGTCACCTGAGATCAGAGGCTCAGTTCTGACACGATGTGGAGACAAAGAAGATCATGCAGGCAGGAGACAGGACAACTTACATGTCTGATTATAGTTACTGATGTGGAGAGAAAAGACCAAGGAGGAAGAGGAAAAGCAGGAAGAGGAGGAGAAGAAGAAAAAGATGTCAGTTCGATACCAAGAGCATCACAGGCTGAAAGTACAGGAGCTACAGGGGGCAGATGAAGCATGAGGTGCTGATTTCAAACCAATCTGGAAGTTATAAATAAATCTGAACAGACAAGTATGAAAAGCTGGAACCAAACCTAGAAGGACAGCAGGAGATCTTGATGAACAATATACACTAAACTGCCAAAGGTTATGGGTCGCCTGCCTTTACATGCACATGAAGGTTACTGATGTATATTATTGTAGTATTAATCCGTAGGGATTAATATGGAGCTGGTCCACCCTCTGCAGCTATAACAGCTTCAACTCTTCTGGGAAGGCTGTCCACAAGGTTTAGGAGTGTGTTCATGGGAATTTCTGACCGTTCTTCTAGAAGCACATTTGTGAGGTCAGACAGATGTTGGACGAGGAGGCCTGGCTCGCAGTCTCCGCTCTAATTCATCCCAAAGGTGTTCTGTCGGGTTGGGATTAGGACTCTGTGCAGGCCAGTCAGGTTCTCCACAACAAACTGGCTCATCCAGGTCTTTATGGACCTCGCTTTGTGCACTGGTGCATAATCATGTTGGAACAGGAAGGGGCCGTCCCCAAACTGTTTCCACTAAGTTGGGGACATGAAATTGTCCAAAATGTCTTGGTGTGCTGAAGCATTAACAGTTCCTGTCACCGGAACTAAGGGGGCGAGCCCAACCCCTGAAAAAAATAACCATGATGCCCCCTCCACCATACTTTACACTTGGCATAATCCAGTCAGGCAAGTACCGTTCCCCTGGCAACCGCCAAACCCAGACTCGTCCATCGGATTACGAGACGAGATAAAGAAGCATGATGTGCTTTACACCGCTGCATCCGATGCTCTTCATTGCGCTTGGTGACGTTTGCAGCTGCTGACTCTGCAGAAAGTTGGCAACTTCAGCGCACAGGTGGCAACCTATCATGGATCCACGCTTGAATTCATTCTTTCACAAATGTTTGTAGACGCAGTCTGCATCCTTAGGTGCTTGATTTTATACACCTGTGGCCTTGGAAGTGATTGGAACACTTGAGTTCAATGATTTTGAGGGGGCGTCCCAATAGTTTTGACAATATAGTGTATGTAGATTTAACTATTTAATGAAAACACTCACCAACAACAAGCTGAATTTTTAATATTTGTCTTGGCTGAAGAAGTGGAAAATCACAGGTGTAGTCTCCACTGTCGGTCACCTTTGTTTTTCTGATGATGATGGAGGCGTTTCCGTACTTCAGCTCATCTTGAAAATGTGAGATGCGACCTTTGAACTGCTGATCTTGACCTGGACGGCCGTTATTATAATGAAAGCCTCCAACATAAAAGAAAACCTCCTTCCCACCATCTTTCTTCCAGTCAAAGAGCTTTGACTCAGCGTTCTCCTTGGTGCTGAGGGAACAGGGTAAAATGGCGTCACTCCCTTCTTTCACAACCACTCTGACGACACCCGACCCTGAAAGAAGAAGTTTATTTTAGTCATTCTGAAACACCAGTTTATAAACACATTAGTTAGGCGGCACATTATTTATGGAGATTTTTTTTTTGTTGGCATCATTTAAGAATATTTAAGCTGACATGAGAAACCTGATGAGTCACATGACACAGACACTTCAGACCAATCCAGTCTCAGTATGACTACAGGGTCTTTGAGAGGACGCCCACGATCTTTAAGTTTGCTGATCGTGTGTTTGCTTTTCATTTGGAGTCACTTCTGAAACTTTCACATTGTCCAAATATTCTGTATGTTCACATTGTCGGGTCACTGTTCTCCCTTCAAAGATCACGCAGCTGCGTCTCATTATTTAGCAAACACCAGCCGAACGGAAACACATTTCTCTTCATGGGAGGAACAAGAAGGAGAAGATTGTGAACAGAAGACTCTCAGGTGAAATCTGAACTCGGTGTCTGCAGCTGCGTTAAATGATTTAAATGACAGTTAAAGAACCAGAAATCATCAAGAGTCAGGTGAAGACATTTATATGATCGCTGCTTCAGTGCATTTCCAGTCTTCCAACAAACACATTAAATCAGCAGAGAAAAACTGTCTCAGGCCGACATGCAGATCAAACATGGGGGAAACCTGCTTTCTGCTTTCTACTCCACTACATTCATCTGGAAATTATATTTACTAGTTACTTTGCAGATGATCATCTTATAGAGTATGATCACTTGTTATAGATTAAACTTCCTAACTGTGCGTATTGATGTAAAAATTTGCTCCACCATAACCAGCTGTTGTTGTTAAAATACTGCTGATGTGTCAATGCAGCAGTAATAATGTTCCTATTATATAATACAATAAGAAACTATGATAAGCATTTTTAACAATTTCTTGACATTTTAAAGACTAAACGATTAGTCGATTAATCGTGAAACTAATCTGCAGATTAGTCGATAATGAAAATAATCACTAGTTGCAGTAGAATTTTATACATTTTGCTTTTATATGTGATGTTTGTTCAACATGTTTTGTTTCTATTTAAAGTGGTCGGGTGTCCCTCAGGACAAAGATTTCAATCTCAAGGGACTTCCTGGTTAAATAAAAACAATAAGTAAGAATCTGAATGCAACATTTAGAAAGTATTTTTACTTCATGTTGAAAGATCTGAGTACCACTGTTATTATGATCACTGTGTAGTCAAGTTATCTTATTTGTCCTATCTCGAGTCAGTTTTATCTATAAAGCCCTAAACCAACAACAGTCACAGTGAAGCAGTCAATGAATAACTTGCATTGTGTCGTCCTGCTGTGATTTTCATATTTTCCTAAGTTTGCATCCCTGTTTTAAGATGATTCATGTGTGTTTCCCTTTTCTCCTGTTTTCTTTCTCTCTGTGAGCAGGACAATTCCCCTGGTGGGGAAGGTGACTCCCCAAAATGGGACAATTAAAACATATGTGCATGTGATTTGGAAATCAAATTTGTTTTAATCATGAAAGTTATTAAAAACATCTCCTGTCATTTGTTTTGTTGCTGTGAACCTCCATGAATTGATTTAGGAAATTAACACCAGCCACATAGATCAATCAGAAGGATGCTTAAATGGCACCACATGTTTTTATATTGATCTGTGCTAATAATCAGGATATTGATTATCAGTCCAAGTAATTCCTTTTCTTACCGTGTTCATCAGCAAACGTTGTTCCAGACCGAGTCAGGAGACAGAGACACACGAGAGGAAGAAGCTTCATGGTTGTCCAAGACATCTGAAAATAAGAATCACATTAACATCACTGTAACACAACACAGCTGCATGCAGGGAGCAAAATGTACTTTTTTGTCCGCCAGCCAAATAACTAGTGAATGCTCAAAGTGTACCAGCCGTTCAGTAGATCACCATCGTTTCTTTGGCTCGTGAGTGAATTAAATCTACCAGCCAATTGCATATTTTACCGGCATTAACTTCTACACATGCAGGGGAAACCTTGACTTGATTCTACAGTGGCCACTTCATTAGGTACACCTATACTATCTAAAGTCATCCACAATACACCAAGTCAACAATATATTCTGTTATGTTGCCTACAGAGTATTAAAAAATCCTCTCAATACAATCTCAAGCATAATATAACCTTCAACCATTACCTCAGCAATGCATATAATTTAATTATTATAAAAGCATTATTCATGTCAGAGCTCTTCTATTTGCATTCCATTGTACATTATAAAAGGTCTCACAATAAAAACTAAAAAGCATTTTTTCAATAAGAAATTAATATGAATAGAAAATACATGAAGCACTAAATCTAATATGAAGCAGCGCGTCTCATCTGCACGGTGTGGTACTGATTCAGCGTTGGTTTGGAGTCCCTGGGTCACATAACATGGAACATTTTTTTAATAAGAAATATTAATAAATATTGATATAAAATAGAAAATGCACTCAAATCTAATAGGAAGTGCGGTACTACAATTCGGCATTGGTTTGGTGTCTTTAAATCACATGACTTGCAAGCTCTTGATTGACTAATAGTAATTTATCGATGGTCCCTAAGCAAACCCCTGGTGGTTAAGAGCGAGCCCTCGGAGGTGAGCTAACCGGCATTATACTGCCAACACCGGGGGAAACAGATCAACAAGACGCCGTTTGATGCTGAATGTCTGTCGGATATCCAACTTAAAACTTCAGCGCGGTGCATGTTTCTATCCGGCCTATGAGCATTAATATACAGCTGCCAGTTTATCAGGTACACCAGGCTAAAACTAATGCAGTCCTGTAATAAATGCCTTCATGAAGGTTAAAACTTAAAATATTGTGATTAAACAACATTACATACGATTGTAACGTGATTCATTTTATTGATTGTCAACCAAGTGAGACTTTAACAACAAATCTAATAACCGAAGATAAACTGTGTTTGTTGCCAAACAACTTCCTCAAGTTAGAATCTAACCAAATATTATCTTTTGATAAACATGAACTAAAGCTGGTTCAGATAAAATAAAAACATTGGATTCACGAGGTCAGCTGATGCGTTAAAATGTGAAATAAAAGAAGATGCAGTAATTTCATGAACATACCAGGGAGGATAACTTATGTCGGGTAAACTGAAACGAGGGGGGGCTCCGTGAAAGTTGGTGGTAAAGCCGCGGTAATAAACCAGATATCTTGTTATATGTCTCTTCAAGGTCTGAGCTTCAGGTCTGTGAGCAGCCGACATACAAAGGAGAACAAACTTCAACCGTCCGAGGCTCGACTTCAACAGCTCCATGGCAGATTGTCCAACCTTAAATAGTGGCTGAAAACACCGAGACCAAAGCAGTGTTTGAGAATTCACTGACTCTGGCTGAAAACACCGAGACCAAAGCAGTGTTTGAGAATTCAATGACTCTGGCTGAAAACACCGAGACCAAAGCAGTGTTTGAGAATTCAATGACTCTGGCTGAAAACACCGAGACCAAAGCAGTGTCTGAACCCTCCTCCTCTCCAACAGGAGGTTGGCCTAAAGAAGATCCAACCAGCGCAGAGGGCCCCTCCCCCTTTCCGAGGCACTCACGGGCCGCCCGGTCCTCGTCCAGCAGTCCCTCCCGGCTGCAGCTACAGCAGGAGATGTTCACTCCTCCGCGGCGAGACTGCAAATGAATCGCGCATGCGCGAAGCCGCAGCTGGCTAACTTCACTTGTTGCTGCTCCACAGTGTCGCTGACATTTCAGATCTGATTTTATTAAGGAGGAGGTTTTGCATCACCTTCCCTGTCCCAGTGCGCAGTGTCTCAGCTGATGTTTGCTTCTCAGGCTGTAAATAAAAACTAAAAACTCTGCGACCTCTATCAGCTTTGAAAATCCTAATGTGATTCCAATGTGGTCACCAATTGTTTTCTATATTACTCATAAACATAAATGACTTTTCAATCTCTTTTTTACTGATTTACTGTAATTTATTATAAACAGATTTTTAAAGAGTTTAAATTCAAAGACTTGAGAATCCAAAATCAGCTGTTGGGTCAGGCAGATAATTAATTCTTTCCCTGAAAATAAAAACACTATTAGGAATATTTGAGTGACATATAACACCTCGTATTCAACAGTAGATGACAGGAAATGAAAGTAAACAGATGTGGAAATATGGAGGAATGTGCCGTCACTACTTCACCTGGTGAACCAAGTAACAAAAGATCACATGTTCAGGCACTTTCTGGCAGGTATTTTAACAGGTAAAAAAGTACAAGGTGAGTTATAATATGCCAAATATAACTCTTCTGAATGAAATCAAGTCATTTTGAGGAAGAAATAACCTTTCAGTCAATAAGTAGAGGCTTCAGTCACTGTCTGGAAAGTAAAATACTGCATTTTATGGGTTGTTTTCACCATTTAAAGTTATTTTAACAGGTAAAAATGGGTTGGATTGGTTGGTACACAGCAGGTAAAATAATGCAGAGTTATAAGGATAATTGCAAAAGATTATGTCTTTATTTTATATATAACTCAGCAGTAAGTCATGTTATTATAGGCTACAGTCCGTTTCCCAAATATAAACAAGGATATTAGACGTCCGTTTTCGCTGAATTCTGATTGGCTCAACGGCGCCGATCAAAGGAGTTTACTTTCCATCTGGGGTGAGTTCAATCCAAAACCTTTTGCACCGGTTTGCTACGTAGGTTTGTATGACAAGTGCAACAGAGAAGAGGGCGAAAGAACGTCCATCTCCCTCGTTCTCCAGTCTTTCTTTTAGGCTACTTTACTTTAGCTTGTTGGTCGACAGCTGACTCAGCACCGCAGCGATACTTGGATTAGTAACTGTAATAATGTTTTGGAAATAGCAATCTGTTAGCTAGTTACAGGGAAAATGAGTCAACTCCGAGGCAGTAAACACAGCACACAGCTCCACACTGCTGTCTGACCCTAGCTGGTCCACTGACACCATAGGGGTCATTTACGCTGGGGATGCTGGGACTTTTTGAAATGGCTGGTTTTCGTCCCACCACCTTCGTGAGACACTAACATCACTGAGCAGCTCCTTCAGTGGCAGGCTGATACACCCACGCTGTGTGAAGGAGAGATTCAGGAGATCTTTTCTTCCTGCTGCCGTGAGACTTTAGAATCAGAAAAACAGAAGAAAAACAGCTTGCTCCACAGAAAATGTCTCCAGAAGGAAGGAAATTACCAGTTTAATGCTCAAAATCTTTTGGGGGACGACTCCCAGACCCCTCATATGTATTTTACCATCAAATATTTAATCTAAATAGTGACTAACAATCTTCTTGTCTTGTTCTCGTGCATCATCACGCCCCTAATCTGAGCCCTCATGTCCCCACCACGTTTCAACACAAAGTGACCCGCTCCGCTCTGCACCAGCTCCTCTCTAGTAGGCCTAAAAGTGAACACTTTTGCAAGGTATTGTATGCATGCTACATTCTCATTAGGGGCTGAGCACCCCTAAAGGTCTGATCCTAGAATCGCCCCTGCAGTGTAGAGAGGCAGCTGCTGTGTGAAGCCTAATTGTAGCAAAAGGGCAACATATAATAAAGAATAAACAATGCCTGATATTTTCCCATTCAGCACTAGGCCTACATGCTTGCAGCTATGAATGTTTCTTTGCAGCAAGAGTCACCATCAGGAATCAGGTGTTAATCCCTGGCAACGTTTCACCAGTTCCTTCTACACATGACCGCCACTAGCACAGAGTCTGGTGTCAAGCGATCTCCCGAATAACTAAAGTAACTTTGGTAATTTTGTGGATCTGTCACTGTTGTAATGTAGGTGGCAGGTTAGCCCAGTGGTTTGAGTGACCACGCTGCCGCAACACAATGTTAAAAAAAACATTTCCAGGCCTTTTCCCTCATTTTCCATGTGTTTTCCATGACTGGAAAGTTGGTCAAGTGTTTTCCAGGTTTTCCAGGATGTATGAGAACCTTGAATAAATTTTGTGCTGTGTGATTTAGGGACTCCAAACAAATGTTAAATTGTAGAGCTACACTTGAGCAAATGAGAAACAACCGTTCATTTTAAATTTCAGAAATTTAGAAGGTTTCATACTCTGGAGAAAAGAGTCTGGAGACAGTTACAGTTTTATAGTGGTGCTTTACTTCCCATCATTCTTCCTTCTTCTATTACACACTCTCCCAAACACATCCACAAAACCCCACAACATAACATCGTGGCGCCGCCTGGTGGGGATGCTGTGACACTGTCAGTACAGGAAAGTGAAGTTACTTATTATTTTGGAGAGTTGACAGTTATGTAGGTCTACCTTGTTGCTTTTTGGATCCTTTGTAGATAAATGGCTTGCTAAATCATCAAAGTCAGTCTGACGGTTTCACATGTCAGCCTCCTCAACAGAACATATATTAAGTTAATTATCTATCTGCAGTTTTACAGGTTCAACTTTCCTAGAAGCGAGTCACGTTGAGCAGATTAACTAATACGCGTTTCTAACTTTAACAACAAATCTAATAACTGAAGATAAACTCTGTTTGTTGCCAAAGAACTTGAAATTTAACATTAACTAAGTGAATTGAGCTATTATCTTTCGATAAACATGAACTAAAGCTGGTTAACATAAAAACACCACAGTTGACTGGACTGATGAGAGATCAGCTGATGCCTTCAAATGGAAAACTGCAGTGTGTACTGGGTTTAATATATCCTGCCCCGGACCGTTTTTCCCCCAACAAGAGACTAGATCTAGATTGTTTCGCCTTTTTCATTGTCGGACATCTCCGTGAAAATGAATCGCGTGTTGACTTGGTGCGGCGAGGAGGTGAAATGCCTCACTGACATTTGGTCAGAACAACACATCAGATGTTGGTGTGGAGTTGGATGGAGACGGTGAGTAACTGGAGCCTGTCGCTGGTTTCATCAGTTCTTGTATTACTGCATCTATGTTACTGCTAGTCTACTACTACTTCTGCTAGAAATGATAATACTTGTACTACAACCAACAACAACAACTAAGCTACTCCTACTACTAATACTCCTGCTTATAATATCACTGTAACAACAACTGCTGTTTATACTATTACTACTGTTAAAAACAACATCTGCCTACCATTACAAGGCTACTATAAAACAACCGTGTTGGGCAAGTTACTCAGAAATTTAAATAAGTTACTTGTTACTTAAAAGGGATAATATTACATTACTTATTACTGGGTATTAAAAGTAACAAGTTATGTTAAGGTTACTCGTTACTACAATAAGTAACCTGAGCTGTCAACATGCAGCCTCTCAGACCAGATGATGCTGCCACAGGGCTCTGAGTATACAGTATTTAACTACATAAATATCTCTCCCGACGGTTCAACTAACAGCATATTCATATCAGCAGCAAGAAGTTGGCCTATGGTTTTGGCTGAAATAAAAAACAAAGCAATGCTTTCACGACTGTTGAACTACTGTTTTTGTGCACATGCACTAATAAAAGCAGTATTCAGTGTTTTTACAGAACAATATTAAACGTTACTTAATGCCACTCTCCTGATAAACGCATGCATCACTGGCAGCAGTGGCCTCCCGGTCAGCTTCGGAGAACAGCTACAGCCTACTCCTACCACCACTGTTAACATGTTCAGTCTCTGATGAGCGTTACTCAGTAACTACTTGCTGTTACTGACAGGGGAAGATGCTGCACCACAGGACGGGAGAGAGGAGAGTCGCTGGACTCCACTGACGTGGAGGCAGAAGACAAAAAGTGACACCCTGACCGCCATTCCTGGAAGTCAGTCCAGGAAGAGGAAAGTGAAATCTTCTCTGGTGTCAGACAGAACAAAGAAGATTCCTGGAGCAGATGCTTAATGTGGATCGAACCCATCAAGCCCAACGCTTTCTCTGAGAACATGATGAGGTCTCAGCAGAAGGCAGAGGGTAGAAGGTTTAATGCCATGCAGGCACAACAACGGACCGATCAGCAAATGTTTATGCAGCCTTGGAAAAGTTTCTGAAGAATCTGTAGAAACTGTTCAACACTGTCATTCACACGTCTTTATGATTGTTCAAAGTGAAGGAAGGAAACATGTTGCATATTATAACCTGTGTTGTCTACATTAATATTGTTTTGTATTTCCTGTTTCAATCCAGTGTAATAAACTGTCTATAGATTCAGGAAGCCTCCCTCCTTTAACTCTTTATAGTGAGTGTAACCCTGAGAATGACAAAACACAACATCAAAAAGCAACAACTTGGCTGTGACAACACCCAAAATCAGTGCGCCCAATGTAGAAAGAGGATGGAGGTCAGGTAGCGGCCGACCTGAATGTTTTATCCACTCGATGCGTCTGAAACACGACAGCAGGCGTCTTGAGATTAAAGACAGGAAGCCCTTGCGTCGTCCTGCTGTTGCTCTTCCATCACTTCCACTTCGCTACTGTCCACTTACTCCTCTCTCCTCGACTGTGTAGCTACTCAGACGTTTTGGCAAAGTATTAAATTCCCATATCAGTTTTGATACAGACTGTTCCTTGGGATAAAGTGTGGTCG